TCACACTCACTCACACTCGCTCACTCACTCTCTCACTCACCCTCACACTCACTCACTCTCTCACACACACAGAGACAAACTGCACAAAATGCTCACTCCCATCTTTTTGGTCTTTAAGGTAAGATCAATAACTCCATATGCTCAAAAACTGATGAGCATCTGATTCCACTGTGTGGAGACACATATATCTTGGCGTGACTAAGTGGACACAGAGAATGGGTGAGGGATGCCTGGAGATGAATTTTCACTTATCAAGTAATCTGTTGGTTTTACTCGTGTGCTTTTCTCAGTCGTCAGACTCGGAGGAGGACGAAGAGACTTTAGACGACGGAGATGATGATGACGTTGATAAAAATGATGTTTCAGACAACAGGCGCACTCGTGGAAACCAAAGCAGGTAATCAGCGTGTTGCTCAATTATTTAAGCCTATTACTGGCAAGTGCCGATGAGATCAGAGATCTGCTCTTTCTTTGCCACCAGTGAATCGGCAGTTTCCGCAATTGGTCTACATGAATCCTAAAAATGTCAACGCTGAACGAACGTGCTCTCATTTATAAAGAAAGACCTCCTATAGTTATTAGTACTCTGTGAGCCAGAGGAACGGAAAAGATTGTCCGTTATCTTAGAGAGGCTACTTCTCAGTAGTCAAGATTTTCGGGCCTTTGATTTGGTAGTCCCCCGAATAAAAGCGTTGTCAGATCCTCCATATTTATGATGTGGCTCTGAGGAGAGGCAGTTGCCATGGAAGCTTCCTGATTCATTTGAATGGGTTCCTAAAAGAAGACATTGCGCCTAGCATTACCGCAACAACTGTACAATTATCAAAAGTTGTTATTATGGCATTATGAATGATTATGATATATGTTTTGTTTTTTGCATCATTGTAAGGATGACTATCTACGAGGATCTACAGAATTGATTTTTCCGCCTTTCCGTTTTTCTCTCTGTTAACCCATTTCCACCTGAGTTGCCTTCCTGAGCAGACACACTCACCTGGGCTGCCTCCAGTCACACCCACAAATTTAAGTACCCAGACTAAAACTGTACTAACTTTTCCTCCAAACAGCTACAAAATTAGCAGACAATTAGCATATGGAAGTGCATGAACAGTGACTCAAAAGTAGTTTTTTTTTAAAAACTTGGAAACGATGGACTGGAGCAAATTTTAGAGAGACGTAGAGGTATTCAGATTTTCTCGTAGTCAGGTGGCTGCCTGGATACGAGTGTTCTCGCAGGCCATCAACGATGAGTTAAACTACTGTTTTGGATGGGCTCTTCCGGCGTGTTTCTCTTTGTTTTGATCCTATAAATGTCAGGTCTGTGTCTGTTAGACAGAGAAGGAAGAAAAAAAAGGAAGAGGGAGAGGCAGAGAGAAGGATGTAAAGAGAGAGGGAGGAATAGAGAGATGGATAGAGGTAAAGACTTCATTTTTATTAATTTGATTTGCCAGTGATGAATAAGTGTTTAATTTCAAGTAGTCTTTGTTGTAAATCTCGTCTTAAAAGTTTTTTTTTTTTTGAGCTTACACATCATAGAGAGGAAATGCGCTGAATTAAACTTTTAATTAAAGTAATTTGACATCATCATCCTTATTTTTATTGTTGTTGTCATTAACAGTGTCCAGTCTGACAAAATGGCTGGTGACGACGAGACGCTGGGGACAGGTTACCGGTCACATGACCTCAGCCGAGTGTCACAGGAAGATGAGTCGGCCCGCCTGGACAAGCTGCTGGTGGTTCGGTACTGGGAGGGTCGCAGCGTGGAGGAGACGTGTGCCGGGGACCACAACAACTCCAACCTCATCAGAGACTGGTACTGCTTTTTTCTGTCTTGTATTCTTTTCTCTACTCTCTCTCTCTCTCTCTCTCTCTCTCTCTCTCTCTCTCTCTCTCTCTCTCTCTCT